GGGGGGGGGGGAAAAAAAAAAAAGTTTTTTGCATTGGAAAAAAAATATAGTCGGTTTTACCGGGGGGGGGGGGGGGGGGGGGGGGGGGAGTAAGAAAGGGGGGGGGGGGGGGATCCTGTGACTTTTGGATGATAAAGTTGATGCATTTGTCATCACGGTAAATTTTAGATTGTTTTTATTTCTCTTTTTAATATGGTTGACTTTGTACAGCACTTCAAGCTTTTGGGGATGAAGCGTGTTTTTCAAATAAACTTTTTTATTATTATGGTTGGCCTTTAAATGGGATGTTGATTTGATGGCGGGGCAAAAATGACTGCAAGGAATTCTGCCTCCAAATTGATAGTTCTTTTTCTATCAACGGTAAGTTGGCACATTTGACACATAAAATCAATCAGTTGTAGATGTATTCAAGGCAATTACTGGAGTAGAAGAATGTTACTTTGACCTGAACTAGATCATGTGATATAATTACTTGATAAATTAATTGTATACAATCTCTCAATAATCTCATAATATTTCATTTATTAAGAAAAAAAATCTTCTATTACGTTTTAGACTAGCTCAGGATTCAATGTAGTTGATCCATCATATGGTATAAAACATTATAAAACATTCCCAAATTTAAAAAAAGTAAAAACGTGTAGAGAACAACACAAATTCTAGAGCACATGTCTTAGGATGGCACTGCTTTTATTCTGGTGATTTCAAATTTGCAAAATGCTGTCATTTTATTAGTTGAACTTGGGGAAAATAAAATAAAAACTAGAAATTAATCTGGAAGTAAATGACATCAAATTTTAAAAATTCAAGTTGAAATTATTGACCAAGCTCAATGTTAAGCCTATGAAATAAAATGAACACATGAGATTTTTTTTTTTTAAAGACTGAAGTAATTGCAAATAATGAAACACAAAGCAATGTACTAAAAAAAAGGAAATGGTGCAGGATGCATAATGTTAAGCGGACAGTGAGCATATATAAGTTACTGTTATAATGCATTCAATCCATGTAATTTATACATGTAAGAGAGTGTGCTGCATCTACAATTAAAGATACACATTTGACTGAATTGTTGAACTGAAACATTCTTAATAACTGCTACCTATGTTAAAATTACTTACATTAAGTTACATTATTGGCAATAATATCATAGCATCCCTTATTCGGACCAGCGACTAGTCTATTAACTTGTACTCTCTCTGTATGTTAACTAAATCTGCTATGATACTAAAGCAGTGAAAACATTGTTGATGCATGCATTGGTAGATAATGTATGATAAGTATATACACTTCAAAATATCATCAAGTTTTATCCAAATTTAAAAACATGGGTCTAAATTAATTGAAATGATTATTGTGTTATGAACAGTACACAGTCTTATCCTACTGTCGTTACTTGTAAGGAAAGCTTCGGTTCCACCAGGACCATGGACCATAATTTGGTGTACCAGATTGAAACCTTGTCCTGTACAGCAGATTCCTCAAGCTGTTGGTGAGCCCTGGTCCGCCGTATGGGGATGCGTTCCAGTTTCCCCAGCGTTTTGTTCTTTCAGCAGTTGGGTTGTCTTGATTTCCCAGCGAGTCTGTGATATGTGCTCCATTTTCCGCGGCCGGGGACTCCTCTGAACCAGATACTCTTCTAGGATATCTCATGAAATCAACCCATCGTTGAGCGGACGACCAAGGATGTGAACCCCAGTAGCCGTCCTGCCAGAAATAATTTGAATAGGGGTTGCTGAAATGATCCCCCCATCGCTTTTCCCTGACTTCACCTTCCACGTCTCGCTTTTGTCTCACCCCGTCATCATGGCCACCCTGTTTAATCCCTTCATCGTCATCATTTTGGTCAATACCTTCCTCTTTATCTTTGTCAAGGTTTCTTGGCCAGCGAATCATGTGGTTTGAATATCCTCCCCATTCGCCGGACGGATTCCAGTAGTTCCAGATTGGCCTGGTTTGTCCAGGATTCCAATTATAGTTCCGGTTGTCCCAGCCCCAGAAGTTGTCGTTGTAGCCCCCGTATGGCCATCTCCTGTCTCTATCCTGTTGTGAACCCGGATTTCGTTTGACTCTAGACATCGGGTAGGCATAACTCCAGGGCGTAAGAGCCGGCTGTGAGTTCCCCCAGTTGTTAAAATTGTAGAAATACATTGAATTATAACTTTGCGGGTCATTCTGCCACCATCTTTTCTCTCTGCTGTCCTCGTTCGCGCCTCGCTTGGATCTCACTTCTCCCTCTTCCGCTGGACTTCTCTTCGAAAAGGCTTGCGTTAAGCTCCAGGGATTCCAATACCATTGCGATCCACCATCTCTGTAGGGATCCCACATTGGCCACCCTTGACTGTTCCATCTGTAAGACGCCGGGCTATTTCCGTACCACCGTTTGGAGCGGTCCGAGTCCGTGTTGGCCTCGCGCCTACTCCTGGCGCTGTTTTCTGTTTTAGCATTGTCCGTACCACGAATGGGCCTCCACGGGGAATAATTATAAAACTGATTCCAGTACGTGGATGGCGAGCCACCGAAGTCACGGTGATCGTACCAAGGGTTCCCCGATCTGTAAGACCATGGAAATGAACCCCATCTATTCCAAGAAGTAGATCCGCCAAAGTTGCCCGCCCATCTTTTCTCTCGCGTGTTCTCATCAGGGGCGATGCCTGCCTCTTCTTGTTGTTGATCGTTGCCTGCTTCTGCTTCCCCTGTCTCTGAGCGTCTCGGACTTCGGCGGGCGTTCCGAAAATAGTCCCTGTACCAGGGATTCCATCTCTGAAAATAGTTTCGAAACCCTGACGCCATGTACGGGTTATACCAGTTATTATAGCTCATGCCTGGCGTTTGACCCCAGTTGCCCGAAAATCCCCGTGGAAAGGCATTGTACCCTGAGAAAGGAAACATCCATGGCTGGTATCTCTTGACCCGGGCATTTACTTCCGTCTTGTCTGCTGTCGTCTGTCTCGAAAACCTGTCTCCGAAAAAGCCAGGCCAAGAATTCCAACTGTTCGTCAATGTGTTGTACCCATTGTACCAGTAGGGATGATAAAAGTCGTTGTACCAACGCTTGTCCCGAACAGTTTCTTCCGCGCCCCGCTTAAAACGACCCGGGCTAAAAAACGCCGAGGGGGAATTTACCCGATTCCAGAAGTTGTAGTTCCCGGAGTAAGGCGGTTGGTTGCTGTTAAGATACCATGACATCAAATCCCCGCCCGTCGTCCACTCACCCCATCGTTTGGTTTTCAGTTCAACGTCAGTGCTTCTCCGTTTTCTTCCGCTTTTATCTTCCTGGTCATCTCGTGGGTATCTCTGATAATCAAAACCGCCAGGCCACCACTGATTACCGCCTGACCACGGGTCAAAACGATCTAATTGGTTTCCCCAGTAACCGTTCCAGTAGCCGCCGAATGCGTTGCTGCCTCCGAACCATCTCTTGTCTCGAACAGAGTCGTTTTCGGCGTCTCGTTTTTTTCTGTCGGCACCTTCCGGTTTTTCGTCATCGTTGACGTCACTATCCCTTTGGTATCTGTTGAAGCCGTACATGCTTTTGTACCATGGATTCCACCCGTACATCATATTATTATATAGCGGATTCCACCCGTACATATTGCTTCCCATCCACCAGGGGCCTCCACCTGACCCAAAGTTGGGCAAGTTATAAAATGGATAGCCGCTCCAATTTTGCCACCTTCTTGTCCGAGTTTGGTCCTCTTCAGTTTCCACTGCCTCTTCGGTTCCCACGGCTTCTTCCGTGCCGTTACCGGACTCAGAAGTCGCTCTCCTGACGACGAACCTGTTGAAAAATCTGGGATCCCAAAACTGTGCATTGTACCAGGGAAATGAAAACATGCTGCGGCTGTCCCAGCTGTTTCGCCAGTACGGTGAAAAATAGTTGTACCAGTTGAGCCATCTTTTTTGCCTGCCTGGGTCTTCAACGCCTTCCCGTTTTGTTCTTCCGGCAAAGCCATCTTCTTTTTTGTCGTCCGTCTCCCTCCTCCAAAATCTGTTTTCGAATCGATTAAAATATGGGAAATTTGGATAGAAACTTGAGTCCCAACTCCGGATCCAACTGGATTGAGGGTCCCACCTGGCCCCGCTCCATGGATTGGGCCAGCGTTTAGACCTGTCCGTCTCGGCTGCGCGTTTGTTTCGATTTTCTCCTCCAGACTCGCTCGCCTCACGCCCGTATCTCATATAGTCACTGTTGCCCCAGTTAGAGAAGTACCATCCATTTCTCACCCAGCTGCTCGGAGACCACATTTCATTTCCCCAAGACCACGGCCAATCGTTCCAGCGTTTCGATCTTGTCACGTCTTCTTCTTTGTTATTGAGTTCAGAAACCTGATCCCCGACTTGTCTGGGGTATCGATAGTTGTAATTGTGGTCACCCCATGGCGATTGCGGCGTCCAGCTGTATGGGGTTCTGCGAGGCCAGTTCTGCCAATAGTTCGACCATGGAAACCTGTCACCTTCCGACCACCATCTTTTAGTTCTGTTATCATTTTCGCCTGCGTTCCCGCTATCTTCAACCAATAGCTTGTCTTCTTCGGCTGATCGCTTATCCTTCAGGTTCTGGTCACCATCTTTTGCTTTCAAATTTCTTGGATATCTAAACGCATTCTGGAAATTGTAGCCACTCCAGTCGTATGGGTATTGTTCATTATTCCACCGGTAAAAAGGTGAATATTTTGCCTGCCAATTACCGTAATTGCCCCAATAGGGCCATCTTTTAGATCTCTCAGTCTCTCGCTTAGCTCTATCAGCGCTAGCCTGTTCGCTAGCCTCAGATTCCCTCGGGTAGCGGATCGCGTTGTAAAAACTGCTTCCCCATCTGCTACCGAACCAATCGTCGTAAGGAGACCCCTGCCAGGCGCTTGGCCATCGATTCCAGCCGTAATCCGCCCAGCGTTTGTCCTTGCCTGCATCCGCGGACCTCTTCTCCCGCTCAGCCGTCTTGTCGTTCTCGGAACCCCTGACGAATCGGGGCCACGCGAAAGCGCCGGAATACCTGTATGGATTCCACGCGGAGCCGAATCCCGTGTAGTATGAGGAAGATGGGTCTTGGCCCCAGTCATTGGAGTACCTTCTCCACCACGGATATTGCACCCAACGCTTGTTAACGCCAGTGTCTTCTTGTGTGGCTTCTCCGTCAGTTGAATCTGGAGCGCTTCTGGTGGATCTCTTAAACGGCCAGTTTGGTATAGGAGGGTACCAGTTTGAAAATCCCCACTGGCGAAATTGGGGCTGTGAGCTGAAAGGATAACTATTCATGAATCTGCTCCAGTAACTACCGTAATTGTTGTAGTCATTCCAGAGGCTTTTCGATGTTCTCGGGATGGCGTTTGACTCTTGCCACTGTTTTCCCTGAGCGTTATTGAACCGATCGCGCTCTTGCCACTGTTTGACCTGGGCGTTACTGAACTGATTGCGCTCTTGCCACTGTTTTCCCTGGGCATCATTAAACTGATTGCCCTCTTGCCACTGTTTTCCCTGGGCATCATTAAACAGTCCCTGGTCTTGCCACTGTTTTCCCTGCTCATTGTTAAACAGACTGTGGTCTTGCCACTGTTTTCCCTGCTCATTATTAAACAGACTGCGATCTTGCCACTGTTTTTGCAGGTCATTGCTAAACAGACTGTCATGTTGCCACCGTTTCCCTTGCTCATTATTAAACAGACTTCCATCTTGTTCTTGTTTTCCCTGCTCATTATGAAACAGACTGCGGTCTTGCAACTGTTTTCCCTGAGCGTCACCAGACGTACTTCGTTTACTCCTTGTTTCATCATTATTTTCTGTGGCGCCCCTTGGCCATCTCATCGATCCATCCAAGGACGTATAGGGTCGGGCGTTCCATTTCGTGCTCCACCAGGGCTGGGCCGAGTAAAAGTTATTGGACGGCCAGCCGTAGGGCCACTGGCTACCTATCCATCGCTTGTTTTTCGATGCACCACCTTCACTGACATTAATCTCGTCATCGCCTGTCTCTCGCGGAAATCTCGTTGCGTCGTGTTCGTTACCATAAATGTAGACCCACCAGGGAAACTGACGAGTGTACGAATTCGTCCAATAACTGCCAAAGTCCGGCCCGAAATTCCAAGGGAAAGAACGTTTGTCCCGATCGTCGTCCTTTTCTTCGTCAGTAGTCTCCCTTCTCTGCCTCGAGTACAACCAATTGTTTCTGTAATATGGGTTCCAGAACTGTCTGCTAGAATACCAAGGCTGTGTAAATCTGTTACCCCACCAGTTGTTCGGGTAGCCACCCCCCTGTGACCATAAATAACGCTTTTCTCTCGTTGTATCTTCGTCCTTCTCTGTGACGTCTCGTTTTTCTCTATTTCCCTCCGCTGGCCCAGCCCCTGCGTCATCTTCAGCTTGACGCTGTAGTCTCATGTAGTTCCCAGGGAAGTTTTCGAACCACCTGCTGAACCCATTGTACCACTGACTTCTCCATGGAGAGTTGTAATTCAAGAAGTTGTGGTTCCACCACGGGCCATACAAAGGAGTACTAAAAGAAGGATGTTGAAAACCGCTCCACACCCCTTGCCTTTTAGAGCGTTCAGCCTCCGTGTCTCTCTTTGTCCTCCAAGACGAGCCGACTGTGTTGGTGCCACCAGGCACATCCCCGAATTTCTCGTAGTCCCAGTTGGATTCATCGTCCCAGCGATTTCCCTGTCCAGACAAGGCGTTCTGATTACCGTATCCAAAATCTGCATTGCTGTTGTCTTTATTATACCACGACTTGCACCGAATGCCCTTCTTAACGGGTGGACTTCTCGGAACGGACGCTTTGATACTCTCCGCCGCCAGGGGTCCCTTTAGATCACCGCCTCTTGCCGACCTCAGCATGTTCCAGCCACGCCATGGGGTCCAGGCAGGCATCGGGTAGTTGCAGTCTTCGTCGTTGCCGAACCAGTCCCAGTCCTCGTCGTCCCATCGTTTTAATCGCGACTCATCCGCTTGTGGAGTTTGCTCCTTATTCGACGACGCGACGTCCCGTTTTTTCCTAAACTGCTGGTACGGAGTGGAGGCTCTTCCTGCGTAAAAAGACCAGGGATTATTATAACTTTGTATGGCCCGCCACACCTGTGGGCAAACCCAGGCCCAATTAGAATACATGCTATTATAATTATAATTAGAGAAACCTGGTGTCTGCCTGTCCACGTGACCGTAGCCCCACCTCTTTCCTTTATCTTTCTCGACCTGTGAACTTCTTTTCTCGAGATCATCATCGTCAGCTCCGGTCTTTTCGTTGGTCTCTCGCGGGAACCTATCCTGACTCCACTGCTGACACCACGGGTAAAACCAGTTGACCCAGTTCGGCATCGGTTGACCACCCAAGAACGGGGATCTAAAACCGAGAAAATCCCATCTCTTGTTTCTATCTGAGGCATCAGTGTTTCGCTTTTTCCTGGAGCCCTCGACATTCCCGATCTGATCCGAATTACTTTCTTCGGTGTTGCTATTTTTAGATTCTGTTCCCCTCACAAATCGTTTGTTCCAAAGGCTAACAAAATCATCCAGACCACTAAAACCCCCGGTCCCAGCAGGCCAGTTCGCGAAATCTGCATCATAACCATCAGGAAAGAAATTACTTAACTCTGGAAAGTCAGACCTCTGGGAAGGATTTGTAAACTTGGGTGCATTCCTAAAATCGAAGTTGTTCAATTCCTCAAAGAAACCACCCCAGTCTGGCCAGGAGCCGGGTTTCTGTGGAATGAATGATGCAAGCATCGTTCGAGGTACGATGTTCCTAAAGACGTTTGGCGACACGAAGTTTGTAGTTGGCTGCAGGATCGCGCTTTCAAACTGACCCCCGAAAGATTGTCCCCCAAAGGGCTTCTTCCAGTCACCCCTTGAGCTTGTAATCAAACTTCGCAACCAATCCCCTTGCTGCCCTTGGGGGAGGGATGTGGACAGTTTACCGTTTGACCACCTTTGAGTGCCGTATTGTTCCTTAGACCCTAGGTTCCACTGTGAAGAACCAGTGTTGAGTTGTTGCTGCCAGTCATTCTCCGTGCCGTATTTGCTGGTTGAACTCCTCCAAATGCTGTCTTTTTTATCATCAGACGTCATTTTCGGATTCTTTGAAGGTTCTCTGTTATTGTCCTTCCATTTGTCAAATGAAAATTCTCTGCGCGGATTGTCAGTTGCATCACTGCGCAGCTCTCGATCAGGGTCATCGTTGGTATTCTCAACTTTATCTTCGTTACTGCTTCTCCGGGCGCGATGCGAAAAATCGAATCTGTTCATCGGGAAATCCCAGTTTAAGTTCCTGTACCTCATCCACCTTTCCCACGGACTGACGAATGCAAATCCGGGGCCTCTCCAACCGCTGTTGCCAAAATGTCTAAATCTTGGCCAATAGTTTCCAAAAGATGGCGAGCTCCTTATCCAGTTGTTCCAGAAATTCGGCCAGCTGGACATTCCCCTGTCTTGTATAAAGCGTTTGTCACGGTCTTGGCGCTCGTCAACATTCTTTTCTGTCGCCTCATCGTTCGGTTGATCAAAAAGCTCGCGCCTGTTGTTCTCCCCACCAGTTTCGTGGTCGTTGGGCTCTTCATTCTGCCTGGCCTCCCACTGCATCATTTCTTCCCACGCGTCGTCGGCGTCCCTTGTTTCGTTACCAGAGCTGCTCCCGTTGCCACTCGTGTCGTTCCACTGGTCCGGGTGCATGGCGTCCCAGAGGACTGACTCAAGTGACCAGGCCATCCAGAGATCCCAAGGAGTCAGGGCAAATCCTGGCGGAGGTGGCATCATTAAGCCAGGCCCCCATCCCATGATATCGTCCTGAGGGTCGCTGCTTTTGCTGGCGCCAACGCCTTCTTTATCTTGCCCAGCAGTACGCGCCGTCTCATCGCGTTTATCTCCGTTCTTCCTATCATTGGTCTCGCTTTCATCTTCAGACGCGTCTCGTTTTGCTCTAGACAATCCTTTTTCGTCTGATTTCTCTCGCCTTCTTCGCCCGAACATGCCCCAGTTCGGCCCACCGTTCATCATCCATGGGTCGAATCCCAGCAGCACGGGGTAGCCTATCATGGGGAATGGAGGTAACTCATCATCGTATGATCCTTTACCACCTTTCTTTTTATCATCCGTTTTCTTGGTCGTAGCAGGCGTCTCGTTCTGCTGGCTGTCGCTGGCGTCATGAAAAGACGACATTGGACCGTTGCTCGATTGCGCGTTGTTCGTAGTGACGGCCGAGGCGTCTTCCGGCGTCCCTTTGTTGGCCTCGAGATTATCTGTGTACACGTCAGAGTCAGAATTAATTGGGTTGGCGGTTGGAGCTTGGCTACTTTGAGAGTAAGGACTATATAACCGTTGATAATCACTGAAATAAGGGCTATTACCATCGGACGATCTGTTGATCTGTCCGTTTTTCAAGTTTAACTGTTTATCGGTACTTCTCTTATAAGGTTGGAAAAGACCCATTCCGCCCATATGCGCCATATTACCCATATCAAACATTGGGGGCCATTGATGCTGCGGGTAGGGGGGAGCAGAGTCCCCTGTAACGGGGCTGCCCATCCCCCTGCCCATAGATGGTGAAATTACCGGCATGGAAGGATAACCCACGTCCTCCGGACGAAAGGCGTCTATAGATGGAGTACCTGGTCCTATTCTCTGGTTGGTTATTTTCACGCTCCACCAAAGCCAGGCTTCGCCTTCCCACCATGCCTCGGTGGACTCGCCCTGGTAGCACGTCACCTTGCCGGCACACCTGTTGCTGCCTGCTCCTCTGTCTAAGATGTTGGGTCTGCCTGCTGACTGGCGATCTTTGTTCTGATGGTAGTAGGTGAGTTCCTCTTGGAGACGTTTACGCATGGCCTCATGCATTTCTCGCCCCTGAAATCATTAAATTTACATTGCACATTAAAAACAATTTCATTTCATACTTCACTACATTGCTTATCGATTCCATGTAAATATTAATAATTTTATTATATTGTGACGAGATATTGAAGGAGATATTTTGACCATATAACTCTGTAATATAAAAAAAAATAATTTTAAAGTAGGTATTGTGTTATAATTTTACGGAAATCGAATCAATTTAAATATGAAAAAAATCAATCTGCTTTTATTCCAGAATATGATCATCTATTTCATAAATATGCATTTCAAGTGCATGGAATATTGTCGAAGATGAGAATTTGCAATGGCGAATAGAAAGTGTCATAAATGCCTTCCATAATTACCCCGGTAACATCGGGTCATATCTTCTGGTATTTTATATTTATTTATTGACTGAGTGTATTTTTTTATTTGTTAAATAATGGGGTGTGTAATAAACTAATATTTTTTCCCCTTCACTTTGATCCATTTGATAAAAAATGAAATGCACTTTAAAATCTTAGAATACTTTAATTTTACATGTAATTTTATGTAACTTTCTGGGTCTAAGTTCTCAAGGCATTTCAACTTAAATAGCTAAGATTTTTTAAAATTTATTTTTCATTTATAATTTTTTTAGTGTCATTTTTGTTGACAGAAAAGGCCTTTAAAAGTGTCCAATCTCTTTAAATGGTAAAATTAACTCAATACTTTGAAATTATTTAGGGCATTTTGATCCCCTTTTATCATGATCAATTGTTATACATCTACACCATTGCGCCTATCATCAAATCTTTACCATTGCCGGTGACTGCAAAAATCGTATGCTCAAGTGACATGTTCATGTTTTCCTATTGACCTATCATTGAGATCAACCCTCCTAAAACCACCCACCCTGATCAATGCCCCCCCCCCCGATCAGTTGACCTTTTTTAGGGCATTTTGATCCCCTTTTATCATGATCAATTGTTATACCTCTACCCCATTGCGCCTATCATAAAATCTTTACCATTGCCGGTGGCTGCAAAAATCGTATGCTCAAGTGACATGTTCATGTTTTCCTATTGACCTATCATTGAGATCAACCCTCCTAAAACCACCCCCCCTGATCAATGCCCCCCCCCCCGATCAGTTGACCTTTACCTGGCGTAGTCCTCTGAAGCGCTCTGCCATTCTCACCAAGTCTTGTATGCTGCGTTTAGCGTCACAGAAACTCACAGAGAAGTCTCCTGAAAAAACAACAGCGTGGATTTTCTTTTTTTATAAAATTAAAAGGAAAAGAAAAAACTAAACCAGCAAGCTAATAAAGTTGGACGCAAAACTGTACAACACCATTTTAAAATCAGTTATACACTTCTTCGCACCGCAACGACCAATAATAAATACCAGGGCTTAACCGGACGGGGGGGGGGTGTGGTTATTTACACCGGGCCCGGTTGTTTTTAGAATTTACCCGGTGGGTCGACGTGTGGAAAAAAAAAATAACTTGTCATTTTCTATAATATACTAGTTATTGCCCGCTAAACATTGGCGACTGCAATGCGTGAACTTCCCATCTAGTCAAGTTACTTGACAAAACATAACTCAAGTAACTTTCATTTAAAAGAACCCCAATATTTGCTACACCCCCTTTCCCCATGATACGTCACTGCACACTTTTTATTTCACGCCCATGAACTATATTAATATTCTCATGTCCAAACCACTTTTAAACCCAATATTTTTTTTACACAATACTTAAATTGAGACGATTTCATTTCCGAAAAGAAAATATTACGCACCAAATGCAATTGCGTTAT